CTTACCCAACAAACAACATCCACTCTCGAGATGCGGTACGGTGAATGTCCTATCGTCCGACCTTGTATGCTGGATTGCATTATTTCACTTTATTAAGGGGAGAGGGTGCCTTCACACACATATTCGGTGTGAAATATCTTCCGCCCCCCAGCGGAGCGTTTCGGCGCCTCTGCGAAGAAAAGCGCGGCATTCAAAAACAACAACCAAAGTTGCCGTCGCTTCCCTGCCCTGCAATGGCTGGAGCAGAAGGAGAGAGAATTTAGTCTCATTGGATCAGAGGAATGGCAGTGGAGCGGGCTTATGGCGAGTAGGCTCGCGCTCTATCAATTACACTTGCCAGGTCCATCTTCCGTTTGGACATTATTTACTCCGTCTCTCTCTCGGCGCACACATCGCCACCCTACTAGTTTCCGTCACAGCATATGCTGCGGCCTTTCAGTCGGGAACGGGGCTCCCCTTCGCCTTGCTGTCTGCCCAACTTAGCGGACTTGCGTTGGCTGATCACCCCGTCTTCGCGTCTGTGCCGGCCTTCAATGCAGTGCCCAACCGTCTCTTGACCGAGATTCATTGCACTATTCCACGCGCAAACAGCTACCCTAAATGTGCATAGACAACGCTCATGGTTCAACACGACCAGGGTGCAGTCTGGGAGCCGAGTATACTAAAAAGAGAGTTTAGCAGCCAAAACTCGTCAAAGCACACGTTGGGTTACCCCATTACCTAACAACGATGGCGGTTCCCACCCGTGAAATACACAACCTAACCAATATTGGGCGACGATGGCGCTCATGAGCCCACGTCCCCACAAACAGTAAGAGAAAGAGAGAGAGGAGGAGATGGGCCAATGTCTTATGCCTCGCTGGGGCAAAGAGAAGAGAAGAGGAGCGGATAAGGGAGGAGATTGGCCAACGTGCGGTCCCTCGCCCAATGTCGGCTGCCTCGCTGGAGCTGGGTAAAGAGGAGAGGAGCGGGTAAGGGAGGAGATTGGCACACCGCGTTGGCGCTGCCGGCGCCGAGGGATATTAACGGTGCGTTTGATCGGTCTATCTGGTTTGCGCTGTTTCTCTAAGAACGGCGGTGCGGGTCTCCTTAATGTCGGCCACTCGCTGGGGGCAAGAGAGAGGAGAGGATAAAGGGAGGAAGATTGGCACACGGTGCTGCCGGCTTTCCCGGGGATATAGAAAGTGCAGGTTTGATCTGATGTGGTTTGCTATTCTCTAGGCCAACATGCAGTCCCTCCTTAATGTCGCTACCTCGCTGGGGCAAAGAGAAGAGGAGCGGATAAGGGAGGGGATTCGCCAACGTGCGGTCCCTCGCCCAATGTCGGCTGCCTCGCTGGAGCTGGGGCAAAGAGGAGCGGATAAGGGAGGAGATTGGCACACACGGTGGCGCTGCCGGCGCCGAGGATAGCAAGAGAAGGTGCAGTTAGATCTGATCATCTGGTTTGCTATTTCTCTAAGGCCAACGTGCGGTCCCTCGCCCAATGTCTTCTGCCTCTCTCTTCTGCCTCTCTCTCAATCTCACTATTTTTGCCGCCGTGATAGGCGCCGCCAACAGCAGCAGCTACCTGGTTGATCCTGCCAGTAGTCATATGCTTGTCTCAAAGATTAAGCCATGCATGTGTAAGTACAAGCCGATTTAAGGCGAAACCGCGAATGGCTCATTAAATCAGCTATGTTTCATTGGATCTGTAAACCCACTTACTTGGATAACTGTGGCAATTCTAGAGCTAATACATGCAATTGGTCTCTGACCGCAAGGGAAGAGCGCTTTTATTAGTTCAAAACTGGTCGGGCCCGGTCCGTAACCCACCTGTGGTGAATCTGAATAACTTCGGGCTGAGCGCACGGTCTCCGCACCGGCGCCGCTTCTTTCAAGTGTCTGCCTTATCAGCTTTCGATTGTAGGTTATGCGCCTACAATGGCTATAACAGGTAACGGGGAATTAGGGTTCGATTCTGGAGAGGGAGCCTGAGAAACGGCTACCACATCTAAGAAAGGCAGCAGGCACGCAAATTACCCACTCCCGGCACGGGGAGGTAGTGACGAAAAATAACGATGTGAGTCTCATCCGAGGCCTCAATCGGAATGAGTACACTTTAAATCCTTTAACGGTATCCATTGGAGGCAAGTCTGGTGCCAGCAGCCGCGGTAATTCCAGCTCCAATAGCGTATATTAAAGTTGTTTGCGGTTAAAAAGCTCGTAGTTGGATCTCAGTTCGGACTATTACCGCCGGTGTTTACTATCGCTCCGAACAACGCCCGCCGGCTGCGGGATGCTCTTTGTCGAGTGTCCCGTGGCGGAAGTTTACTGAAAAAATTAGAGTGCTCAGAGCAGGCTATTTGAATGGCGAATGGTGATGCATGGAATAATGGAATAGGACCTCGGTTCTATTTTGTTGGTTTCGGAACCAGAGGTAATGACTAATCGGAACAGGCGGGGCATTATTGCGGCTAGAGGTGAAATTCTTGGACCGTCGCAAGACGAACTACTCGGCATTTGCCAGGATGTTTTCATTAATCAAGAACGAAAGTTAGAGGTTCGAGGCGATCAGATACCGCCTAGTTCTAACCATAAGCGATGCCAACTAGCGATCCGCCGGCGTTATTCCCATGACCCGGGCAGCTTCGAAACCAAAGTCTTTGGGTTCGGGGGAAATATGGTTGCAAAGCTGAAACTTAAAGGAATTGGAAGGGCACCACCAGGAGTGGAGCCTGCGGCTTAATTTGACTCAACGGGGAAACCTCACCAGGCCCAGACACGGAAGGATTGACAGATTGAGAGCTCTTTCTCGATTCGGTGGGTGGTGGTGCATGGCCGTTCTTAGTTGGTGGAGCGATTTGTCTGGTTAATTCCGATAACGAACGAGACTCTGGCCTACTAAGTAGTCGCGGATCTCCAGAAAATGGTGTCCAGTTCGCAACTTCTTCTTAGAGGATAAGCGGCAATTCTAGCCGCACGAGATTGAAACAATAACAGGTCTGTGATGCCCTTAGATGTTCTGGGCACGCCTTACACTGAAGGGATCAACGAGTTTTCCCCTCCGAGAGGAGCCGGGTAACCCGTTCAAAGCCTTTCTTGATAGGGATTGGGGCTTGCAATTGTTTCCCATGAACGAGGAATTCCCAGTAAGTGCAAGTCATCAGCTTGCGCTGACTACGTCCCTGCCCTTTGTACACACCGCCCGTCGCTACTACCGATTGAATGATTTAGTGAGGCCTTCGGACTGGCGCTCTTGGATTGTCGGCCCGTTGCCCGCGAGGGTTTTCTGGGGTCGTCGCCTCGAGCTGACGGAAAGATGTCCAAACTTGATCATTTAGAGGAAGTAAAAGTCGTAACAAGGTTTCCGTAGGTGAACCTGCGGAAGGATCATTAACAGAGAGAAAGAGAACGGGGCGCTCTTAAAACTACTACTACTCTCCTGATTTGGGCGGTCTCGGGCTCTGCTCTGGCAACTCCAGCAGCGAAGAGGACAATCCCGGCCCCCGCAAAATAAATTACCACTGCCGCTGTAGGTGGACCACCTTTCGGGCGAAGCGCGAACCCGGAGGAATGACGGGGCTTTAAGGGCGGCTGCCGTCCGTTCCTTACTACGGCGAATAAGCCTCTTGACCCAAAAAGTGAAATTCAGAATTAAAAACAACAACAAACCGTCGTGGCCCAAACCACAAACTTGGGCTATGTCTGTCAAACCCTTTCATTGGGGCTAGGCCTCAGCGATGGTTATCGCCAAAAAAGACCAAGTGTAAAATACGCTCTTAGCGGGGATCCTCGGCTCGTGGGTGCGATGAAGGCCGCAGCAAACCTGCGTGTCGGTATGTGAATCGCAAAGAATACCGATATCGGCATATTGCGGCGGCGGCATATATGAGCAGCCGCCGCCACTCCTCTCTGGTCGGAAATATACATCCATCGGTTGCTGCGAGTTCGGTGCCTGCTGACTGTCTCCCCGACACGAGGGTAACCCGAACCGAGCTTCCGCCTTGGGGTTTAATCGCCCGCGCCTTGCGCGAGGCGTGCCCTTAAAAACAAGCAAGCCTATCACTAGCAAGTCCATGGACTTGGCGCACCCACATTCAACCACAACAAAGCGACAGTTGTCGCCCTCGCAAATAACTGGAGGCGGCGCTCTTTTGCCTGCTGTCCACAGAGACACGAATGGCCGTCGGCCGCTCATGGCTGATGCTGCACATGTTCTAAGAGGCACTCCATCCCACGAAGAGGAAACGAAACCGGGTCGGATATCTTTTAAGTAAGCCCCCCCGGAATTTCGTCTATCACCTCGAAAAGAGTGCTTGGCATGCATTGCAGTGGAACCTAAATTGATGAGTGCGCCTGGGCCCGCAGTCTACCATGTAGTGGTGCAGGCAGAGAGATGAGAATGCTTGGGTGACGCCGTGCTCTTCCTCACGCGCTCCTCCACCCTCTCCCACGGTCAGACGCGGTGTGGGCGTTCTCTTTGAAAGTTCGCCACGAGTCCACGTCTATCTCATGACTGGGAGGGAGGCAGGGGGAGTTCTCTCTAAACGCGTTAAAGACGGTGTTGCGCCTCATAACGGCGCTCGCCGGGATAGAGCACTAGTTCTGCAGCCGGAAAGGCCGCTCACGCCAATTAATACTGCGACTCTCGCTCTCTTTCTCCGGATAAACAAGTGCCACTGCTGTGGCATGCGGGAACGGGGAAAGAGGTCAAAGTTTAAGCGGCAAAGGTGCGGCCGAGTAAGGGCGGAACACGAGAGTATATGCATTAAAACTGTGTGTGTATATGACTCTGCGAGAGATGTTCTGCTGGAACACTTTTCCTATTGGCTATTTACCACTCAATGAGAAGGAACGGAGTCAGGGGTGGGAGTGCCGGCGCCATGGCCGCTGGTACCCCCGCGACAAGCCCCTCAAGCCTTCCTGCCTGGTAATGTCGGTGGTGAAGAAAGTCGGTGGCAGAGCGTCTTCCGCTTCGTGGTTGGGGAACTTGTTCCCCCTAAGGATGATGAGACCACGAT